GCACAAAAGACCTTTGGTCATTTTGTGCTGGCAACCTACTGGCAACCATATAGAAAATACATGCTCACCAGTGACTGTGGGCATTTGTGCACATTTGTGCTGTAAAACAAAAGGAGGGTTTTAAATTTTTATTTTTGATGACCTTTTGAAATCATAAAGGCGCATGCATGCAATTTCCGTTACAGCATCAGGGTTTGAGGTCTTGCACTCGAGAGTTGTAAGGTGAATCATAAACTGTGAAAGAAAGCTGTAAAAGAGAACCTGAGCTAGTACTTGCCATCAGGACACCAAGGTGTAGCGCCAAGCTTTCATTTTGACGTCAGGTGGCCAATGGTGTGCCGACATTGTGCCGACACTGTGCGATTAGTTGGTAAAGTTGACGTGAATTGCCAACAACATGCCGAGGATGGTGATTGGTTTGTAAAATTCATGTCAATTGCAAACAATGTATCAGCATTGGTGATTGGTCAGTATTAAGTTGACATGAATTTCAAACGATGAGCCGGCGTTAGCGACTGGCTTGTAAAGTTGACCTGACTTGCCAATGAGGTGTCGACGTTGGTGACTAGTTTGTAACATGACTTGCCAACAATGTGCCGACGTTTATCATTGGTCTGTAAAGTTTGACGTCAGGTCGCCAATGACATGCTCACGTCGGAGAACGGTTTGAATACTCGACGCTATATTTGTGTGGGGAATGCAGATCTGACGTCGGCTTTGCCGATTGATGTTTGCACGTGGTTTTAGACGACTAGTAATTAGTTGCCAAGGTCATACGGACCGATGGTGATCAGTACAAACATATGGAACTCCAGGTAATGTCGGGTCATCAACATCGGTTGACAGGGTACGTGTGGTATAAATATTTAAATCGATATCAAAACTGAAAAAATAAAAAAACCGAAAAGAAGCTATTACCTTGCACACTCATGGTAAGCTTTACGTAGAAGCCGTCAATATTGTTTACATGATAAAAATGCAAATATACAGCATAGCAAATCCCCTGAGAAGAAGAATACGTGTAGAACTGCAGTTTACAATTGCTGTCCTCATAAACGATAATCGATCAGTTACCACCACGGAAAACATTAACTGGAAGTCGAGAAAAACGAAGCTTCCACCTCTAAACGACGGATGCTTAATTGGAATGACTAGTTCCTGATAAGTGCACAGGTTAACAGGACGTCTGCTTATCAATTAAAACAACAAACAACCAGAAATGTAGGCCTACAAGAGGGCATGGTTACTGACTTGACTTGTTTGGCCGATTTATAAATGAATCCAAATGCACATGGTTTTGAAATGAACATCTTTATGCCTGTTGTAGGCCTAATTATGAAAACCTCGGTTCTTGATTTTATATATGCTATTTTATATTGCAGCTTTGGTGGTTTTATCACTCTTAGAAGCACCCTTCACTCATCCAGTGACAATTTCTGGTCAGTGCATGCATTTCAGTCTGTTGAATTGACCCTGGAACATTGTGGTCAAAGTGGCAAGTTTTCAAAATAAGCCAACAGCATTTGTATGGCTGTCTGACATTACATTATCGAAATGGAAGTAACACTTCCAATAATTGCCAAAAATTTGCGTAGGCAATTCATGTTTTGCAAATTTTGAACTTGCAATGAATAAAAAACTCTCAAATAAGAAGCCCCAAATATACTCACTTTCTAAAAACTAACATATCTCTATTTCTAAGTCAGTGCATTTATACATCCACGGACTGGTTTTGAACCATGTTGCTATATATACAAAAAGACACCGCTGGTTATAAAAAAAACAAATGAATGGCTCAATTTTTCTTCCAAACACGTACAATTTAGAAATCGAGAACGTTGTGGAAAGACTGAATACAACATTTCAGCTTGTAGGTATTTTGATGTTTCAATAATAGTTTAAAGAACAATTTATTCATTCATTATTGGTATAATAACTCTAAAATATCACATCCTTGCAAGGGGCTGCATCAAGTTTTTCCCTGACAATGAAAACACTTACAGAAACAATATCACACACTGACTGGATAAATATGCCATACCCAAGTAAAAAAATAATGTGACTCAAACATGAAATGAAACAAGGGAACCACTTGACAGGAGAAATTCTGAGGTTACCAACAGGGGCGGTTCTAGAGCTGATTTTCTAGGAGGTGGCTAGACCCTCCATATGTGACATCATCTTTTAACATTTGCTTCTGATCCTTAATCATGGAGTATTTATGAAAAAAGAAACTTTATGCAAAATTGCAAAGCCAAAAGCGTCCAGCCTTTTTTTTTCTTCTTTGGGGGTGGGGGCTAGACAAAAGATGAGGGGGGCCACCCCCAACCTAAATCCCCATCTGGGTACCAACTTCCTAGGCTTAGATAATGCAGACGTCATAATTACCAAGGGGGCTGGAAGGTCACCACTTCATCACCGTGTTAGTTCCAGACTTCCATTACTCCTGTGTTTGGTATTCCCACTTGACATAGAAGTTGAATTGCATGGGCACTTTCAACTTATCCACGTAGACATTCTGAAGAATAAAAGAAATGTGAACCTTGAAACTGTTTGAAGATACTCCAAGATCAGGCAGGGACAGCTGAGATGGGGGGATACATGTTCTATCATTACCTGTACATCAGGTGAGTAGTGGAATGGAACAGCAGTGCCGTTGATTGTCACTTGACTGACCGGGCGAGGAACTGCGCTGAGGATGATTGTCTCTACAGTGACGGGCTGTGATCCTGAATACCCATCATGCACCACGGTGGAATTCATCGTTGTTGCATTCGATGCAAACTCCACAAAGAGATAGTTGCCGCTCTCGTATGTGTCTGCCAAGGATGACAATTATGACAATAATACTTAGTAGACATGCATGTTGCTTGTCATTGACGATTACCAATTACCGATTCTGCATTTTGAGCAGCCAACTCAAGAAAAACAAATCATGTTTATGAACGCCGGAGAACACGCCGCCTGAACTCGGCCCATGCGTAGATTACTGAGCACAGAACTGCATTTTGCAGGCTTAAAGAGCTTACCTAGAGAGTCTCCATCATCCCAGAAGAGTTGACCGGTACCAGGGCTCCTGTCACTGCGAGTGATCAGCAGAGTGAAGGCAAGCTGGCGATACTGGGTCGTGGTGGTGGGATTGCCCCCCGAGGGTAACTGCAAAGGGACGATGCGACCTTCTCGCACATGAACATTGATCTCGTTGAGGGGCGCCGGTAAAGTGACTGGCTGGGTACTGTCCACTTGGAAATGAGTCCCCTACAAAGAAAGCCACAATCATCACAATGAGGCATATGCTTCAATTTTTGGCTAATTAAACCCAGAATTTGAGACTTTCAGGCGTATAGAATATATTCAATTTGAGCTTTTAGATACAAACCGAAACTGCAAAAGATGTAATCTGTGAATCAAATTTGCCAAAGAGTTCAATATTTTTAGGAATCAAGTCATAAAAAGTTGTTTTGGACACTCCTGGCATACATTTGTATTTGCCTAAAGGCGTCCCTTCCAATACCAAGTTCTTGTAGTCCATGTCCGAAAAATTCCCTGAAAACTCCTAAGATGAGGAAAAGCAAGATAAGAATATCCTGAAATCGGAAAAAAATGACAAATTTCACCACCGCGTTGCTACTTTTACACCAACGTCAGATTTTGTATAAAGAAGCATTTTGCTCCAAAATACAATAATTCATAAGCATGGAGTCTTCCTGTCTATGCCTGATTCAAGATTCCTCTCACGTGCTATTTGAAAGATATTGGACGACATATTTTTGGACGACATGAGAGAAAAATGTTTACTTACATAGTAAACACCCAACCAGATTCCTTTCGGGAAAATCCCAGTAACATTTGTTGCTCCTTTTTCCAGAACTGGAGTGACGACTACGGCTGAACCCAACATGAATTGTTTGTCCACATCATACAACTGAGGATCTCCTGGGAATCTTGGAAATACAAAATCGTATTCACATTGATCGATGAGTTGCCTTAAATCTCAGTGGTCAACACAGTCAAGATCATTACACACGACCAGATCTAGACATGAGACCGGTCACAACTACAGTCAAAAGACCAGTCACAGATCAAGACTGAACAGAAGGTCAGACACAAAGGTCAGTCCCAAGACCAGGGTCCAATTTCATAGTGGTGCTATTCCACACGATTTTAGGCTAACAGCGGAACAGAGACTCCATGTGTTTCATGCAGACTGCAAGCAGTGAGTATGACGAAAGGTATGCTTACCTTGGCTGAAAAATTGGTGCCAAACAATGAAATTAGCGTCAGATCCAGTGAGGAACACACCTGGCCCCTCCAACCTCCTTGAACACACCTGGCCCCTCCAACCTCCTTGAACACACCTGGCCCCTCCAACCTCCTTGAACACACCTGGCCCCTCCAACCTCCTTGAACACACCTGGCCCCTCCAACCTCCTTGAACACACCTGGCCTCTCCAACCTCCTTGAACACACCTGGCCCCTCCAACCTCCTTGTTTTTAATCAAAAGTCTTTGGACAATCTCTTGTTCTTCCCCTTTTTTCTTTACTTCGAATAAATATTCAGTAATCTAAATACGGTGAAAATGGTCAAGAGATATATCCAGTTAGTGACGTAAACAAGACCCACTCAACATGTCCTTCATACTTACTCAAAGAACAACGGTCTGGCCACAGTGGAGCCCTGGGTATGTGCAAAGTGGAACAGGGTATAGATGTATGGCAGGAGGCTGTAGCGTAGCTGAAGAGCTTTCCTGGTTGAAGTCTGCATATCTTGACTGAACGAAGTTGGATCCTGATCCTGTGATGAATGCAGGCGTCAAATGCAAGCTTAGCGAAACAACTCAAACAAAATTCTATCGTATTTCAAAGTTCATTAACCCTAACTTCTCCATCCGTTGTCTCTTGGCAGTCTGCCAGTTACAACAAAATCCAATACGACCACATTGAGAACAATGCTGAGGTCAGAAAATAAGATATGAATCACATCACAGCGGTGGGTTTTGAAAGACAGAGTCTTGGTCACTGGTGTTGACTAATTCATACAACTTGGCAGCACTGATAATTATGCGCATACACCATATCTGTGTCAATTCTTTTACCAAAGAGTCAAGGGCACTAGAATTTTCTCACTAATGAGGAATAAACCAATCAAAGAAACCAGTGAACAAATATTCAGTAGGCCAGATTTTTGGGGGGGGGCTAAAAAAATAGGGAACTTTTTCAGCCCCCAAAGTAGTCGTGAAATCATCTTTCATCACTTTTAAAAACAAAACTGTTCCCCTTTTGCAAGGACCCTGGCTCCACTGTTTGCCCCTTCCAGATGCTCTCAAGGAGAGCAAGCTTGGCTTCATTTTTCACATATTTCTAGTTTTGCTTTTCAATAAAACGCACGCCGATTTGAAATGGTTCAGAAATCTCATCTTACCATGGCTCCGAGTGTGTTGTGATTGCGGGAGAACGGATAGAAAGCCCCTAGCTGCATCCATCGCTGGCAAAGTTCTTCCGTTGTATTGAGGTTGAAGCCACAGATATCGGCTCCGACCAGAGGTATGCCAAACAAATTGAAGGATAAAATGCCTGTTGGAAGAACCGTTCAACCCATCAATGATACATTTATATTGGGCAAGACCGTTCAATCATAACGTGCTGCATTTATGGATAACCTTTAGCACTGTTTCGTTCCTCTAAGATTTTTTCACTTTAATAAAGTGAAGAGTTGAAGCGGAGCGTCGGGGTGGAAGAGATCAGGGAGATTGTAAGGGGTAGACTGAGGTGGTACGGTCACTTGGAGCGGAAAGAGGACGCCGACCGGGTCAAGAGATGTACGAGGTTGGAGGTAGGGGGGTTGAGATCAGTGAGCCAACCATGCAAGTCCTGAAGGAGACCGTGTCTGCCGACATGCAACTGCTGGGTGTGAGTGTGTGCGGACAATGCGAGGGACCGGACTAGGTGGAGGGACATCGTGGGAAGCAAGGTCAACCCAGCACAAACTGGACGACGACCTCAAAACCAGTGATGATGAAAGACGAATATTTCAAATCGCTTGTGAAGGGAATTTCATACCACATTTTTAAAGACAACATTTTATTATATTATTATCTATTATATTATTTACTAAAAATGGCCGAGTTTTAGTTTCTGCCCTTATTTTAGTACACCATGCATGAATTGTTCAACACTGAGAGTTTAGTTCTTTATAAAGCTAACAACAATCTGTGTTTGTATGAAACGACATTTAAAATTTCTGCCACAGCAAATCACTCTATACCTCAAACTTCCTGGACAACAATATGCCCCCAAGTCACAAACAACTAGCTATCCTAATAAGATAAAAAACAGCTGTAAACTGCTTGCTACCTGCAGTGACCATATACAAATTGGACAAGTGAGGTCAAAGCCTGATTATGTTACAAGTGACCCCTTAACTGTGCATAATGATGCTGACCTGCTATAGAATAAGCCATGTCTGGCCATAGACTATAGTTATCTCCCAGCCAGTGACCGGTGTATTTGCCGCTCCCTGGGTACGTTGATCTTGAGATGACAAAACTTCTTTTATGGCGTATTTCCACCAGAGCTCTGACATGATCAAAACAAAGATTCGTATTTAAAATATATTTATCTTGCAAGAAGAGGAGTGACGTCTGTGAAATGCGGTTTCTCAAATCCAAAGGAGACACTGTTGCTATGACAACTGCATCCTGGGATGGGCAGGCTTTGCCTTGTTAAATTTCATCCAAGTCTGACTTTGTCACTTCACAATCTTTGGCTAAATGTACATACCAAATATCCCCGTGTAAGAAAGTAAGACAAATCTTCTCTCGTACAGAAAAAAGGTTTTCTTTCCAATACAACTGACAGCTGGAACAATTTCCGAAGGGGGGGGTTGGGGTGGGGCAGTGTTGAGACCACCAGGCACGAGCCAATAATAGATCAATCTGTCAGGCCCAATAAACAACCGGCCAAGAGTGGGGGGGGAGGAGCCATACTCCCCCTCCCCCCTTCAGCCTCCAGTGCATGGATCAGAGTTAACGAGGATTCGGACACCCCTAGCTTTGGGCACCCAGCGGTAACACTGTTATAATACAGCTTACGTGTAGGCTAAACTTACTCATGTGTAGCGATGGCTTCTGAGTATCCGTAGAGACTGTGAAGGTCATAGTGTTTGCCGATGGCCTGGGTGGCAGACGGGCAGAGGGTCATGGCAGAGAGTTTGCCCCCAACTATTGCTGAAAAACAAAACAAAGTCCAAACAAAATCACGGTGAGATTTATTGAGCTACAAAATTGTGTCTGTCAGTGGCAAATTCACGTATAATACTACACAACTATGTGAAAAAACAGTAAAATTGTGGCCAGAAATAGTCCTGGACGATCGAATCCATATATTCATTTGTTCAAGAGCTTATCATCCTTTCTTCATAATAAGAGAAGCTTTAAGAATGATATCCGAGGAATGTAACTACAAGGTAGTCAGCTGAGGGAATGTAAGGGGCCTTAGGCAAATGTCTCATATCTGACTACGGAGCACAGCCAGGGATGGAAAATGTTGATTTTTTTTTGTTGCAGGGGGCAAAGGAGAGAATGAACCAGCAACTCTGCTCATTGTGGCTTGAGGTGGGAATCGAACCTGGGACACAGTTGAGAAGAAGGTGCCCTACTAGCTAATACCATTGAGCCATTTATGAAGGGCATGACCGGCTTTAAATGACCATTCAAATACCTGGGGTGTACGGTGGGTTGTTCCAGGAATTTTGGGGGCATCCGTTTACAGATCCATTCACAAAGTTTGAAGGTTCATTCATGTCCTGAAGAATGAAATTCAGTCATTTGAGTAAGTGCTTTCTCCTCAACTTGACTACCAACATTTTCGAATCCGCTCGAGTTTTGCATTAAAATAGTCTTGGTTTTTTTAAACTGAGAAATGACGAATCCCTGAAGATATTACAGAAAGACCCCTCAAGTGGCAGTGGTGAAGTGTGGTTATTACTGGATAAGCGTTCAAACAGATCTTACAATATTTCACTTAATTTCTTGATCTCAAGATGAGACATCCATCTTGCCCGAGTCCGAAGTTTGAATGAACCTTTCAAGGTTTTCTTGATATGGTTCCTTCTGAAATCTGCGTAGGGTTGCAGTCAGGCTTATTTTTATTCACTTATCACTGGCTTGTTTGCCCAAGAAGTCCAAAGAAAGAAATCAGCTTGGAGTCAGGAATCACATCAACTACAGGACACAGGTGTCATTAAAATCACTACCTTTTTGACCAAATTGATGCAAACGAAGACAACTTACTATCCACAGTCCGTCAAAGGGCACTTTGCCGTGGAAATCCCTGATTTGATCAAGCCACCAGCTCTTGGTCTTGTTGTTGAAGAAGTCTGGGAATACAGTTGAACCCGGCCACACCTTCAACATGAAAATGTACCAACACAACACATTAAACAAAAACTATACAGTCAAACATCTTTGGTCTAAATCTTCATATTATCAAGCAGACTATCCCATTTCAATATTATCAACCGACATAAATCATGAGCTATTGTGGTTTTTGGAAATTCGATCTTCTTCTGAAGGTGTATTTTCACTAAAGTCGCTTAAGAAAGTTGTATCAATGTGTGCTCCCAAGTTGTGACAGACTTTGAAATGATTCTGGTAAAAAAAAAACCCAAACCAACAAATAAACAAATAAAAGACAAAAAAGACCCATTCTCAATTCATTTTATCCATGCATCACGGTAATTTCATGGAGCTGTTAAGCAGACAAAATATTTGCGACAGGTGACCAGACAAAGTGCTGTGCCAAGCATAAGGTTAATTGTTTCCTAGTTAATTGTTTTAATATTCGTTTTATTGGGGCAGCAGGTCCTTGGATCATAGAATTTTACTTTTGCTGCTACACGCCTTTCTTGTTATTTTGATGAGGAATGGCTAAGTAAATAAACAATAATAATATAACATAAGACAAGTTCCTGCTCATTCTTTGGTCAGCACAGAAATTTGCTGAGCAAGATTTGTTGAGCAGGTGCAAGAAATACGACTAAGACCAAGGACATGCATCGGGTCTGTCATCTTGCCCTATTTCACGTCCACATTTACCCTTCCAACTATTGGTTTTCCGTTGCTGTCTTTGATGAATACATCTTGTGCGATGCCAGTGTCATACGGTGGATATGTCCCAGCAGGTTGAGTGCTGCTGATACCTGGGTCCTGAAAACCAGAAAGTGAACAATTCTTGTATAAAATACCCATGTAAATGAGATCCGAAGGAGATCGACTCATTCCAAAAGATTAATTCTTCTACAAAACATTCATGCTGAGAGACAAAGGGTTGTGCATCTGAACAGGCAACCTGGAGTAAAAGGCTGCTTCATGCTTCAGGCAAACCTGAAAACAACACGACTTTGACACAACGGAAGATTTGCAGAAAATTTTTGCTCCAATTGAAATGTGTTCAACTTTTACCAATCCTTGATCCGACATTTTTGTGTTTGCTTTTTGCAGCAAGCATGAACTGGCATTAACCTTCAAAAGCCGGGATTTTTGGCCTTGTCACAGCTGGGGGGGACAGAATCTGCCCCCTCTCAGACCTCGGCCATATGATGACGTACTTCAATGAAATTTGAAAGTGTCATAGAGGCATCCATACTTATCATCTGTGTGAAATTTCATGTAAATTAATGAAGTCTTTGCATAATTATGACTAATTAATTATTCATGGTAGGATACCATCCTATGTACGGTGTATTGCTGTGTACAAAGTCATGGTAAATTTCACATCACACTTCACCCTGCCTTCTAAAATTCGTCGCTGAGAGAGAACGCCACGTCTGATTTTCATAAATTTGGAGTCAACATAAAGCTAAAACATTTTTAAAAATTGTCATAAAGTATTAGCACGCAGAAAATAATCTTACAGATGCTTTAAGAAGAAATCAACAGGGGGGCAGATTCTGCACCCCCCCCGGCTCTTTGAGGGTTAACCCAGGAACCAGTCCTAGCTATGGAACCAGAAACCCATAAACACCTAAACAAATTGTAACTCTTGAGACAAAGAAAAACAATGGTTTTCAAACAATCTGTTTGTAAGAAATTTAAAAATAAATACCAGGCCACATGGAATGCTAAAACAGATTTCCTGTTTATGTCTGAAGGTTGTTGAGATGGACGGCTCTTGTGTGTTTGTATTCCAACAACCAGCTGCTTTACTACTCAATCACAGTGCTGATATGTAATATTGACGTGCACATGTACAGTATGAATCTGACACTGACTTGGTACCTGTTTGCAGGTGAAAAACCTGCCTTCAACAGCTTTCTTTTGGTGTTAACCCCTTCAAGGCGGGACACGTTAAGACACGCCGTAAAAATTGAGATCCTCAGCCCGCTTTTCAGCTATTATTCTCGGCCCACGCTCGAGCGAACACGACGAAAGAATGCAGACCCTGGCTCTTGTATATATGGTAATTGGTCTTTGTGTGTAGCTCAGAAATGAAAAGACCAAAGTTGCATCATAATCACCAGCTTCACAATAGTCCCCATTTTGAAAAAAAGCAACGGGAATGTGGAAGGGTGAGTAGAGCTGCATGCCACCGAACAATCAGCCTTTTCACTGTGTAATTCAAAGCGTGCAGAGCACGCTGGGCCACAAACTGAGAATTGGCCAAGCGAGGCCGGAATTGTTGGAGTCGGCTTTCGGAAAGAAATTCCCGTCGAGAAGGGGTTAAAGAAAATCCGACACTACCTGGTTTATTTGTTTCAAAACCCAGACTGTGGTCTTAGTAAAGAGTAGAGTAATGACAATCAAACATCATAACATAACCACGATTATTTCAAAAGGTACAATGCATCTGGAACATGGCCTTTTTCTCACTCAACTGGAGTGGGGATTTCACTTACTGTGATTGGAATGTAGTGCATACCAACTGAATGAAGGTAACCAATCAGTTCAGGGAGTCCGGCAAATGGTCCGTTGTTGACTGTGAAGTCTTTACAGCCGACAGCGTATTCGATGTCATTCCACTGAGTGTCCTATTCGACAGACGTGCATACAAAAGAGGACAGCCCAGGTTGAAATGGTTCAACTTATTCAATAAAAATCAGTCAAATGAATATAAAACGAATAAACTAAAATACATAGGACCATCCATTCCACGACTACATCCCGATTAAAGACTCTCAACTGAAATACCTGTGGAATTGAAGCGGCTCTCATCTGTTTGACAATCTCCAAGGTCCTGTTTGATGATCCATAACCCCAGCGACACAGATGAAATCCAAGACCCCAGTAAGGAGGCATAAATGGACGACCTATGACCTCGGTGTACTGCTGGACAACTTGGTCCGACCTAGGACCCATGAAGATATAGAAGTCTAGAATCCCACCGATGGTCCGGTAGGTGAGCGCTGGAGCTGGCTGTAGCACGACCTCTGATTGGACAATAAAAAATGGGAAAGACATCAGAATGAAGAATTAGGACACCTCATCCGCAGGTTCCATCGCTTGATTGGCTGAGCGCATGTCACATGGTATCTGCTCCATACTATCCTATCATGCGCCCCCAAAAAAGAGTTGACAGCCTTCTGCAAGTAAAAATATGCTCTAGAGAAAAGTAGAAGACATGTTGGAAAGAAATAGATTGGATTGATCCTTGTTGTCTATGAGTAACACAAGTATGCAGAACCTAGAGGTTTGTTATTTGTGCACATTCAGATGAAAATGAGTCATGTATACTACACACTGAAAGTGAATACACCGGTGTGCACAGATTGGGTGCGTTTGAGTGGCTCATTGAGGTCAGGGAAGACATTTCTTACCCATAGCATTACTGTTGAGAAGGAAGACACCGTGGGAGTTGCCTGAACTGCCCTCAAGACCCAAGTGGAACGGATGCACTCCATACAAATTATCACCAACCTGCATTGAGGAAAACCCAATAAGGATGTTTGGGCACATCATTCAGTCTATGAACTGGCCTGAGATGGACAGTTTAAACTGGGTTGCAGTTTGGAGGAAAAAATAAATTTTTACAATTTAAAAAGAAATAAGATGTAATTTTGGATATCCGTTGCTAGAATAAACAAGAGCACCTTCTCAGTAGACTGACTGCAAAAATGCATCTAAAATTTTGTAATACATTAACATTTACAAAACTTAGTAACTTGAAATATTTCAAAATTTTGTCAGTGTTTAACCACTTGACAGAAATGGTTATTATTTCACACAGAAACCGTACAAAAGTTTATTGCCTCCTTGGTCTTATACTTGAATGCAGTGTAAATTTTGAGGTCAATGCAAAATGTACATGAGGGGGTTGATCTCTTGACCACATTGGATAGGTCTCCCAATCTGAAGCAACCCTGAAACGACCTCTGTGTTCTCCAAGACCATAGATGTATGGTGTGACCAGGCTGGTTGAGAGTTGAAGGAACTGGTCTGCAAAAATCAAGGGACTCAGGGTACTGTTGAATCTGTAAAATTGCAAATAAAAAGATAGAAAATAAAATCTTGTATCACAAAGCATAACTACAAAAATCAAATAACCTGGAACAACTTTTGTTCTTCAACAGATGTACTGAGTGGCAATTGTTTCTTGGAGGCAAGTTTCTTATAGGTTCATGTAGCAAGGTAAGTCTGTCTGTTGCCTGCTGTAAAATTCTACAGGCTCCTACGGGCATTACAGAGTCCATTCTCACTGTGACAGTCGGTGATGCAGTCAAACCAAGAACGGTTGCCCTGTTGAGATTACAATAAGGCCATCCTGAACTGAAAATGCACAATTTCATTGCATTTGATGGGCACACCTTCATCAATTTAGATTACGTAACTCATGGACTTGTCACTATGTAGACACAAAATCCAAGGGCCAATGGATTTACCATGGTAACACACATAGGACATCCTTTTAATTCCATTTAGCACTTGACTTCCATGCTCAGAGTGTAGTAGAATGATTCTGTTGAGGTTTTTAAACTTAAAACCTCTTTTCTGTCAAACATCAATTACTGCCATGCTGGTGACACAATCAGATAAAATCCTTTATCACAACTCACATTACGGTACCATCCACTCGACGGGTGACAATTAAGCCCATTGGAGACCGTGAGAATTGCACTTTGTAGTCTGTTGATGGCACTCGCTTGCTGACTTTTGGTGTAGGGACGGGAACCTGATAACGTTTAGACTTGGGGTCGTATATCTGAAATTGAAGAAATTTGATACACACAAAGGTAACGTAGATACAATGCATGCATTCTCTGCATTAACCCTAACCCTCGGGGTCACTTTGGCTACAAAAGGCCAGATACATCAGTCTACATCGTTTGTCAGAGTGGCTTGCCGCTCCAGTGTAAGATCCAACAGGTCCACTCTCCCCAAAGCCAAACAGCCTGGGAGTCTGTGGTTGCAAGTCACCACAAGATCCAACAGTGGCATTTGTTTAATGGGACAAGCTCCCTTGTCTCAACATGGCCAGTTTGTTTGGCTGCTGTTGATTACTCAGCGCATCAAGATGCACCAGACATCTTCACCCTTGGCAGGGTAAATACATATCATAACAGGAAACATTTCAGAAAAAAAAGAAAGAGCTGAACCAAATTTCAAGCTGTTTCCATGCATTTATGGACGGATATACTGAATCTACTGGACGTCATGAATTACCTTGAAGTGTAATCTGTAGCTAGTCTCAAAGCAAAGATCCATTTGAAGCTGCATCACATCATTTGGATAGTAACTTTTGGTGGTACGTTTTAACATCACAGTGTAACCAAATGCTGTCGGTTGCGGGGAGCCCATCTGGTAGGTCGGGAAATCTGATGGATAGAAACAGTAGGGAACGCCCTCGTCCAAGTTTTTGGATGCCAGCCAACAGCATCCGCGTCGCTGACATTCCTGTTGAGTTGCACCTTCTTCGGGGTGGCAATCAAAGCGGTAAGATGAATAAATACCAGAGCACTGCATACCAGATGTCAGGGTAACCCCTGATAGCATGTAGCCGATGAAGGCAATACCAAAGATGGCTCGATGACAGCCAGTGGCTCTCAGTGACTGCATTTTATAATTTTCCCCCTTCTGCTTCACCTGCAAAAACAGAACAAATTCAAAATATACAAGCATTGCACGTCAAGTATTTTTAATGGTTTCCAACCATGTTAGAGGAACCATTGCTGCATGAGTACCAGCTGCATGGGCGGTATGCCTTGGTCAATACTTGCGACATTCAGTCTTGGCCTGGATGCTGTGATCCTACTGATGATCAGGTATCATGGTACGTCGTCAACAAATAATTCTAATTAAGCAACTGAATGTCAAATCCCCACTGCCCACCATTACACTAGTAATGGGTCATTCATTTTGAATTATGTCAATTCATCATTTGTCCAAACATCACAGCAGACATGAAAAAAACGAAGTTCTATTCTGCAGTGAATGGAAGTTCTGTACCATGTTCACTTGTAGAAATTTCTGAATATAGGCATTGGGCCTTTATTAGCCTGTAGGTATATACAGGTCAATTTGGGTGATTTTTCAGAACAGGTGCATGGTACAGTGATATTTCAGGGTATTTAGGTGGAAACAGAGACAATATGAATATTAAATTCATTTGTTTTTTTGACACAGATGCCGAGGTATATTAAACTTAAATGAAACGCGTTGAAATCAGTAAGTTGAAATTCATCGTTGAAATTCTAATGTCTCAAAAAGTCCCCCAAAGAAAGTCCCAACATGCCCAAATTGCACGAAGTCTGAAGTTGTTCTCACGGACGTGTAGGCTGTTATTTGTTGTTTTAATTTTAGTAACAATGAATGCACACAAGATTTACCGATGTCTATATCTTAGTGACACGAAGCACTTGCCCTCCACCTCCGAATTGACACATAACCAGGCCAAGCCAAACGAACTTTGAAAAGTTCCACATAAAAACTGAGGTTCCTTACCATAATTCAGCTAACTACAGACTCCAGCTTGGTGCAACAGCGCCCTCGTTTGTTTCCATTTACCCTTTCTCAATTTTCCGGTATGGTTCTCAAACTGTGGAGCCAGTTGCACTTGGTAGACCTTTAAATGTCAAAACCAAGCAAAATAAGTAAATCTGCAGCTTTGAGTCATGCAATATGATAATTTTATAATAAAACGTTGTCGTCCGAGTTTTATGTAGAAGTTGGAGTTCTTGTATAATTTGATTCTTTACTCCACTGTAGTGACGAAGCCGAAATTTGAGAATGGCCTCGGAAAGTGAGGCCTGCTTGATCTCCATGCAAGTGAGACGCGACGAGGGTTCGTGTGCGTGCATATATGTTTACGGAACTTGAACTTAGAAGTTGAACTTGGTTGCTGGGCCTTATTTTAACATTTCACTGTCGTGTTGGGTGCGGTCTTTGTGAGTTGTTCACTAAACGGATTTTGTTCTCTTAACCGTAAGTAAAGTAATAACATGAAGCCATTGCTCTCGACTGTCATTTTCGCTGTTGGCTGTAAACTGGTAAAATAATCAGATTGGCTAGGCCTAATGCAGTATTTGACACTCGCTGTTCCTGAACATTAAGTTCCATCATAACAGATCATGCTGTTTGCAAACGGTGACTAAGCCTCGACATTTCCCTCCACTTTCCTCATGCAGTGTAGCAAAGTCCCTTCACTGGAAAATATTAAATTCATGTCATGCAGTTTATAAATAATGGTGTTAATTACCTACAATCCCTACATTACTAGCCTATCTTCAAGCAAACTTGAATTCTCAATTCTGATTGGTTGATCCATGGCTACAAACAGTGTGATATGAGGCAGCGCAGACACCCAGGAGTTTCACAAAATTGCGGGTGTGCTGATCAAAGAAAAGATTGTGTAACCCGATCCTCGGACTGTCTTGTGCGTCCGTACATCGCCATGGTTGCTTTTTTCACCGGCGCGGTAGGCCTACAGTACCTGCCATTTTGTGAGAATCCCAGATGTCCGCGCTGCCCCATATAACCTAATTGCACAGTTCATATTAAACCCTTTGTAACGTGCTGTTCTAAACTCAACGCAGTAGGGGTCTATGCTATTTTTATGCTAAAAGCAAACCCACATCTGCATGACTGTAAATTGAAAAGTGGCAAGTTTGCCCGTGCTGATGTGTTTTAAATCCACGTGCACAATTTCCTTTCTTAGTGTAGGCCTTGTTGTCATTGTTGTTGAAAGAAGTTAAAACGTAAATAATTCTCATGCTCCCTAGATAAAATTACAGAATTGTGGTACATCAGTGTTACTTTTTTCGCTGTGCGCTGTCTTTTTTATGTAAAGCGCACCTATCCATAGGCCCCTTTACTGCACGTCAAGTTTGTTTGAGGATAAATTTGTTATCACGCTCGCGCTCATGGAACACAGAATAATATATGCTGTAGAACCTTTCTGATCAATTTAAGTGTCGTGAAATATAGTCCAAAATTTAAACCAGTGGCGTCCGAAAATTGGGCACAGTTTTACTGAGTGTTCCCTAACAATACATGGTACATTTGTTGTACCGGTACAAATCTCAGCAAAGCCCACATTAACATCTAAGAATTACTTCAAAGTGAAATAGCTACTACCTGCACTCACATACCCCACACTACTCTTGTGACGTCACTCTATCCATTAACCCTCCTATGGTTTTACTGCACAAATATGCACGAGTGCTCACAGTCACTCTGGTCGAGTTCGGGTGGCCTGTTCTTGACACAGGTTTCTTGTTCTCGCACTCGAATGGTGGGAACACGACTCAAGAACACTGTTCTCGGAACAGGATCACACACCACCTCCTCGTCAGGGTTTTACAGGAACACACGGAAAAAACTCGTGAGATTTTGATTTTTGAACAGCTGCAAAAAGTAGAGAGATGGCTTCCAAAGCCATAGACAAATGGGAAGTTTTGCAAAATTAACATTAATTATTTTCCGTAACATGGAAATGAATATTCCTGTTTATATAGAAAAGAATTCAGCCCATCCAAACATTAACTCTCGAATAACGTAGCCTACATGTACATGGACGCCGCCATGTTGCATGTTGCTTGTCACTAACTACCATCGATAACCGGTGTTCTGACCTCTAGTTTCACAATCATCCAACACATACATGGTGTAAGAAACTCTGCCAAATGTGGAATTAAAAAGTATGGTCTTGTTACTTTCTCTTGCTTTTTCCTATCATTTCCTGGTCGATTACAGGGTTCCCAAATCGGCCGGAGCCTTGCAAAGTAGACAGTATTTGAGGTTGCTTTGCCCCCGATTTTGCCACCTCCAACTTTTGCGAGTAGCAATTATTTCATCGTCAGATACGTCTATATATTCGAAATCTCTCCTGTGCAGGTTTTGTGTTAGTTGCAAAGTTCGACGTCAAGCCAAATGNCAGTTAGGGTTAACTCTCGAATAACGTAGCCTACATGTACATGGACGCCCCCATGTTGCATGTTGCTTGTCACTAACTACCATCGATAACTGGTGTTCACAATCATCCAACACATCCATGGTGTAAGAAACTCTGCCAAATGTGGAATTAAAAAGTATGGTCTTGTTACTTTCTCTTGCTTTTTCCTATCATTTCCTGGTCGGTTACAGGGTTCCCGAATCGGCCGGAGCCTTGCAAAGTAGACAGTATTCGAGGTTGCTTTGCCCCCGATTTTGCCACGTCCAACTTTTGCGAGTAGCAATTATTTCATCGTCAGATATGTCCGAAAATACCGGGTATTGGTTTGAGTCATTACTTGAGGGTGACTCAACATTACCTTGAAATGAATTTTGGACAAATCATCATCACTGGAATACAATGATGTAGCTGGCACAGACCGACAAGAAGGGCGATGCAGAAGGAAGTTCGTTCGCCAACAAATGACTTGCATTCCCAAGGCACTGGGCATTTAAATCCACACTTTTAATTCACTTGCAAAAACTGAACCTTTTATTCCTTTGCTTTATTGCGCAACCAGGGGACCATAGCAGAGTTTTCACGTGGGTGCTGTACCCAACATCTCGTTCATGTAATACCTCAACACGTTAGTAGGAATGCACAGTTTTTATTTCCTTGAAATCTTTACAATGAGTGTGCGAGGGTCGTAGTTAAAGTCGCAGATTCGCATCCTTGCCCATTCTTTTCTCCTTAACATAGTCAAACAAAAGTCCCAGTGCGATGGAACTTAAAGACAAATGTCATACAGTCTTTACAGAGTCCTCGGATGCAAGAACTAAGGGGATATTTTGTCAAAGTTTCCTCATTAAAATGGACGTTGCTCCTCAGTGCGTATTGAGGACATCAATAAAATTCGTATTGTTTGGATTAAATTGTTTGCTTTAATATTTGTTTGCATTACGTTTCTTCGAAATCTCTCCTGTGCAGTTTTTGTGTTAGTTGCAAAGTTTGACGTCAAGCCAAATG